CTGGAACAAAGAATGTAATATTTATAGTCTGAATTATATCAGAAATAGTAATATAAATACAGAAGGATACATATTTATGTTTTGTAGATTATGCAAAAGCATTTTATAAGGTATAACCCAAAGAACTAAATAGGAGATGACATGCCATTAAATCCAACATCCAGCATCCATCCAAAGAACTACTTGAACAGCTTAATTGGGGCAAGATAGTAGAGTAATCCAGAATTTAGACTGGAGAAAACTGCTAGCATAGAGATAGAAAATGAATTCTGTGAATACACAAAAATAGAAAAGGATGTAAGAATAGTAAAAGTTGGAATAGAAGAAGGTGCCTTTCAGAAGCTAAGTAAAAGAAAATGTTGTTGGAAAGAGTGCTTTAACTATTATTCACAGATGAAGAAGTGATTTGAAACAGAAATGTGGTTCTACAGAAGGATGCTGAGTATGCCATGCATTCAGTGCATAAGCAATGAGGTGGTCATAAGGAAGATGGAGATAAAAAGTACAGTTATACTTCAAACTGGAATGTGTTGATCTTTCTAGGAGGGATGAGGAAGGATTGCTTGGAGAATTTGACACTCACGGGATATGCTGAAGGCAAAAGAAACATCAAATCAGTGAGTAGCTTACATAAAATGCTTGTGTAAATGGCCAAACTGGGAAGGGGACGGATGGTGAAAAAACCAAACTTTACTAAGAGCTACAAAGGAGAAGTTGTGGTGAGCCATGATCGCCTATGGCATAGAAAAAAAGCAAGAAATGAGCACCTTCAGATGGCTGCAAGATTCACAGCTGAAACACTTTGTCAAAAAAAAAAAAAAAGAAAAAATTAATGTAAGTAATGAAAGTACACAACAGAAATACCGCCCAGAAATACATCCCACACAATGGTAAGATAGTAAGAGGTATTTCTGGTAGGTATACGTGGGAGGTATTTCTGCCACACCTTGTATAATTGAATGAACAACTGTGCAGATTTAAAAGTCACTGAATATTTCATATTAGTTGCAGCTGTCTAGACGTCATTATTTGTGCGTTTTTATTATTTTATGTCTATTGTCCTCTTCATTGTCCCATCTAAGAAGACCAATGGTCAGTCTCTTGTCTCTGCTCACTTAACTCTCTTAATAAAAGGCAGTTATTTCCTCCCCCTGCCTTGGCTAAAAAAAAAAAAATATTGCTGACCACGAGAAGAGAAAATAAGCCAGTCAATATTTCCGTGAAGTGGCATCTCTGGTTATTTTTTTCTGTCTTTGGAATAAGTGTCTGGAAATATTCATATTACCAATTTGGGTTGTCTAGGGAACGGCATAAGGGTTTAAAAAATCATCTGAGTATTAATGACAGCAACGTTCATGGTTTTTTTTTTTTGGTGGGTGGGTTGTTAGACCCAACAGGGGTGCGGGCAGGGGAATAAGTAATTTGTTTGAAAAAGGACATAAAAAGCCTACAAAATTAACAGCTAATGTTGGGGACTACATTAGAAAATTGTAACTGAAACCTTGCTCTATCCAGTGGTGTTAATATGCTCTTTCTGTTTTAAGGGAAACAAATAAAACATTACTTTCAGGAAGTCTTTAACCGGATCCAATTACCAAACATCAGGTTTGGATTTTTTAAGGACTTCGTGTTCAGGCACATTCTCATTTTATTTATAATATATATATATATATATATATATAAGTGAACATTGAAGTCCATACTTAGAGGCGACAGGCTGTTTCATGCTAGACACAATCATCATGGCCTGACAATTGTCTAGCATGAAACAGCCTGTCACCTCTAAGTGTTGACTTCAATGTTCACTTTTATACTTACACATGCTCTATCCCTGATATTGAGCACTTTATCCCATAAATATAGCACACCTTAAGAGTTTATTTCTTCATATATATATATATATATATATATATAGGAGGCACGATGAAGTAATGGATAGTGGCTTGGATTGAGGAAACGGAGAACTGAGTTTGAATTCCAGTCAAATCCATTACATTCACTTACATGCTAATACCCTTGGGAAAAGTATGAATCCTCTTCTACCTCCAGCTATAGGTAAATAGGAGGACAGACTGGGTTCTTTAGCCTTGGATGGCAACTGGTCAAGGAGAAGGCAACTCCGAATTCAAAACCTGCGGAGAGTCGTTTGGGGACCTTGTGGCACTCGGTGCACCAGGTCTCTTTATTTGACCCTTCAAAAAGTGTGGATGATTCTGCACAAAACCTTCACCACGATAATCAAATCTCTGTGCTGGTGTCGGGCTTTCAGTTCCTAGGTACTGATCTGCTTGACCCCTCGTAATCAAATTCGACGGGGAGTTGATTAAATATACATATGTGTATATATATATATATATATATATATATATATATATATATATAAAGACATTTTTATGTTTAACATTCTTTTATAGATACAAGTATTTTAGTAAATGCTCTGTTTATAGTGGCTTGCTCGGGGCGTAATGCTTAAAAAAAAAAAATAAAAAAAATAACAACTGACACTACATTTAAATTTTGGAAGAGAGTTCTGCAATTGTTAAAATTTAACCTATTTTTTAGGCAAGTAAAATTTTTCTCAAAAAATGTTGTCAAGAACTAGAGTGGCAGTAATTATAAATTAATTAGTAAGTGTTCAAAAGGTTTATCTAATTTTGAAGTAACTAAGGAATTTACCTTTTCATCTGATTGTTTTTCTCATTGCTATAGATATTATTTTTACTCAATACATGTTTCAGTTGGCATTCATTTTTTTTTTTTTTTTTCCAATCAGTGAAATTGATCACTCTTCCAACCTAGAAGCATCAAGTGCCTTATTAAAGAAAATGTACCTCTTGGCAGGGATTGAACATGTACTCCTTCTTTACTTTAGGGAAACCCCCTTATAGTCAGATTTAAATGCCTCTCGGTTCAGTCACTGCTAAGATGTTATTTTCTTTAAAATGACTCTTCTTCGTGCTTCCAGGTTGGTAGATACCAATTCCAACATTTGAAAAAAAAAAGAAAAAGATCTCTACTCAAGCACTTATATTGACTAAAAATAACATACACACCGACACACAACTGGGTGTTGAAAAGTTCAACATCCAACCAAGAGGTGTGATCTAAATCACTTCAATGCTAAACGCAATCATCAGATGGCCTGTTGATTGTGTTATCATGAAACAGACAGTTGCCTCTGGATGTTGACTTCAATGCCCACTTATATATATATATATGTATATATATATATATATATATATTAGTTGTAGTAATAGTCTTATAAGAAATTATACTTGTTCGGAAAACCTTTGGTGTCTTGATTTGCAAATAATCAAACCAATACCAAAGGGAAAAGAAAGAACCAAGAACATGTACGTTAGCCAAAAATAATCCTCTAGTATGCAAGACCAAAGAAAAAACCCTGATACGAGTAAGCAAAATAACTAAATAAAGTACTCAATACAGTAAGTAGAGCAGACCTAGTTAAACCTAGAGAGCCAGACAAACCTACCAAGGTTTCACCTAAGCGGGTCGTCAGGGAAGGCTGGCTCTCTAGGTTTAACCATATATATATATATATATATATATATATATATATATATATATATAATTTCCAAGATGATAGAATCCAGGTAGAGCTCAATGTCCAGGACAGTGCAAGAATATGATATAAATGGCTCAAACACTAATATTCCATGGTTATAATTTATTACATTGGAATTGTAATCACGAGCCAATTCATCAGACCTGCAAATTCAAGAACAAATCGGAAATTGTTTTTGAATTTGTAGGTCTGATGAATTGGATTGTGATTACGATTCCAATGTAATAAATTATAACCATGGAATATTAGTGTTTGAGTCTTTTATATTATATTTTATATATATAATGTAATTTTCTCTATCTATTTTCATGGATTAGTGTATACACATACATATTTGTGTATGTCTTCATTCACACACACACACACACACAAGTGTGCCTACCAGACAACCAGATGTGACACAAGGTCAGTTTAAAGTGGGTTTATTGGCAACACTGTGAAAAAATTTCCAAAACCCCTCATCAGTTCCCTTTTTGAGTGTGACTCAGGTGCTGGGCAATAAAATCAGACCACTCTTGATGGTATGGCTCTCTGGCACTTCAGTTTAATTTTAGAATATAGGGAAATCTCTCTCTCTCTCTCTCTCTCACACACACTCACACAATGTCTGATGCTCAACTCCATGAGAGCACCTCTTTGTGACTGCTTGGTCTCAAACTATCAGCTGACCTGAGATGGAACAAATACATTGAATCAGTAGCTTCACCTACTGCAATAAAAGTTGGTTCTCTGTGTCACGCCAGACAGTTTTTCTCATCCTTCAAATTTATAAATCAACCATTCGCCCTTGCATGGAATACTACTGCCATATATGATCTGGAGCCCCCGCTGTTCATCATAAGGTCCTCGACAAAATCAAGAGATGGATATGCAATGTGATTGGCCCTGATCTGGCATCTCATTTACAGTCACTCACTCACAGATGTGACATCACTTCCCTCTGTCTTTTCTACAAATACTTTCACGGTAATGGCTCCGACAAGTTACTTTTGCTAGTTCCCAAACTGCTTGAATTGAAACGTGCTACAAGGTTGGCCTCTCAATCTCACCTTTTCACTGTTAAAACAGTTAAATGTAACTGTCTCTGTTACTCCAGGAGTTTCATGTTTCGTATTTCCCATCTGTGGAACTCCCTTCCTCTTACTTGCTTCCCTGATAGCTATAATCTGCAACTATTCAAATGCAATGTCAATCGACATCTCCAGATGCCTTGTTCTAATTCTTTGTCGTTCTCTTCATACTTTCCACTATCAGACTTTTGCTCCCACTCTTTGTAACCCCTTGCATCCTAGTGGCACTCCCACCTTGCTTGGGTTGAAATGCTTTAAAAAAAACAAAAAACAAATACAACATTGGCAGATAAATGCATGCAAGGACACACTGAGAAGTATCATTTCTCCAAAACATATACCTTAGGGTCATATCATGTTTAAACACTGGTTCTCATATGATCACTGGAGTTAAGAAATGTTGAGTCTAGTCAGTATCTAGATGGGTGACCACGTGGAAATAGCAGGTGCAGTAAGCTTAGATATGCGGGTGATTTAACAGATAACATCTCAGAATTGGAAATTGAAAAGCTGAGTTCCATTTCCATTCAGATTCATCATTTTCATTTACATGCAAATACCCTTGGAAAAGCCCCCAGCTATGGGTTAATTTGTAGAACTTGCTTCAGGAAAAATCAACATATCAAAAAACTTCTTGCAAGTAAGTTATACGTAATATATGTAATTACTTACTTATACGTAAGTAATTCTTACAATCTAAAAATATTTTCTGTATTTAAATAACCTTTTCTTTGCTATTTCTTTCTTTTCATATGAATATCTCCCTCAGATACTTGAGTGTTTACATTCTTGTGATTTCTAAATATCCGCGTATAGATTGTTACCAAAAAGAACTGAATTGACTTGTGCTTTTTTTTATTTTCAGTGTGGCTACTGTGGAACAGCTTGATCAACGATATGTGCTAACCCCAGCCGATATGAAAGATGCATACATGCTACACATTGCAGATCTTTATGTTGAGCAAAACCCAACAAGTTCCATTATGATCTTCACCAGCACATGCAAGTAAGCCTTTACATTTAGATTCCTTTAGATTAAATCCAATTTATCTGCCATCACCATGGCTTCAAGATGGCTTCTTCATTTCTTACAGGAATTCTTCTTTGTCTTGATCTTTCACATTTTCACACACACACACACACACACACACACACATATATATATATACACACACACACACACATATACAGGCTGCAATGGATGAACTGTCATATAAATTGCACAAAAATGAAATTTAACATTGACATCTCATTTTAACAGATATACAGGGTGCGATAGATAAATTGTCATCTAAATGAGGCAAAAATGAAAATAACACTGACATCTCATTTTAAAAGATATGCAGGGTGCGATGGATAAATTGTCGCCTAAATGAGGCAAAAATGAAAATAACACTGACATCTCATTTTAAAAGATACATTACCCAAAAATGCACAAAAACATCTCGAAATACTAAAGAATATATTTATTCAAAAAAATCACCATTGGCTTCAACGACAGCTTCCAGACAACTTCGGAATCTCCTGCATCTCTTCTGGATGGTCTTCTTGTTTAAGATGATGAATGCTGACATAATCCTTACTTTCAGTTCATGTTTGATGTTACAAGAAGTTTTGTTGGTCTCTTGCTCAACGGCACCCAACACATAATAATAAAGGGTGTTGCAGTCTGGAGAGTTAGGTGACCAGACGTAAGGGGTGTTGTGGTCACAAAAATTACCTGACAGCCATGACTGGATTCTCTTGCTTGTGTGTCATGGTGTAGAGTCCTGTTGCTAGACATAGGGTCTTCCAGCAGCAACCTTTTTGACCCAGGGTAGCACCACCTCCACAAGGCACATGATGTAGGCCTCCATGTTCAGTCTATGTACTTCTATTGAGGAATAACAAAAGTGAAAATAACACTGACATCTCATTTTAACAGATATATTTGCCAAAATAACACAAAAATATCTTGAAATAGTAAGGAATAAATTTATTTACTAAAATCACCATTGGCTTCAACCAGATGACTTCCGAATCTCCTGCAACTCTTCTGGATGGTTTTCTTGTTTAAATTGATGAATGCTGACATAATCCTTGCCATCAGTTAATTTTTCGTGTTACTAGGAGTTGGTCTCTCACTCAACTGGACCCCACATATAATAATCAAGAAGATTGCAGCCTGGGGTGTTAGGTTGCCAGATGTAAGGGTTGATGTAGTTACAGAAATTGTTTGACAGCCATGACTGGGTTCTCCTGCTTGTGTGGCATAGTGCAGAATGCTGTTACCAGACATAGCGCCTTCCAGCAGCCACCATCTTGAACCAAGGCAGCACCACCTCCTCAAGGTACTTGATGTAGGTCTCCGTATTGAGTCTGAGGCCCTCACCAATGATTTTCAGAGTTCTTTTCTTATCATAATGATCAGAGTGAGTTCTCTGGGTTGCTGTATCTGCGGAATCCCCATTAGACTCATCCAATTCTTTCTGAATACTCAGCATTTTTCTGAGATTGACATCGAATCACTCTGAAATATTTTGTGTATATATATATATATATACACACACACACACACACACATATATATATATATATATATATATATATATATATATATATATATATAGGTTTTAATACCAAAATACTTTGTAAAAAAATATTACCAGAAATACATATGATTGTACTCAAAATATGAGTAATTAAAAATTGTTCAAATATATATGTATACATACACACCTTTTTTACCAAACTATCACTATGAATCTATTTCAAAAATTTTATTGGCATTAAATGACCCACTGAGGTTGATATGCCATAAAACAAGACAACCAAACCTATATATATATATATATATATATATATATATTCATGAATTATTCACACAAAAACAAATGCAAAGGTTAATGATTTAATGGCGAGAAATCCATCATCTATAAACAATTCAAATAATATACAAAAACCTCCAAAAACAATAACTCATTTCAATAGCATTTTCGGATACAACAATACATATATTTTCGTTGTCCTCTTATTACTAAGAGAAAAAACAAGAACAACATCTATTCCATACCTGAAGATGTCTGTAGGAACAGACAAAAGCTTGTAGTAAAATAAGAACTAATACGGCAGAAATTTATAGAAACAAGGATCTTTTCATTCATAGCGGATTAGGAGGTTTTGTATATTATTTGAATTGTTAGCGACGATGGATTTCTCGCCAATTAAATCATTAACCTTTGCATTTGTTTTTGTGTGAATAATTCATGAATTTGTAAATTGATTGCACGTTTATCGTAATTAAAATATATATGTATATATATATATATATATATATATTTAATGATATTTTTGTTAAAAATATTTTACATTGCGACAGGGAAATTCCTTGTTTTGAGACTTAATGTTTTTTATGTCATCATCAGGCAATGTTCAGTAACTTTAGAAAAAATGATTTATATTTGAAAATAGAAAACAATATGTTTGCTTATTAAAGAGTTAATATAGGGGTGGGGAATCCAGATTTTTATATCTTATGGGCCTGTCTCTTTTAATTAATCAGAAGGAAAGTCAACACTAAGTTAAAAACATAGGTTAGATGTTAGGGGGATGTGTGGTATTCATACATGTCTCAGGGAAACTGTCATATTGACGGTTCGACACCTTACTTCCAGCAAAAAGTATATGTTTAAGTTATGAAAAAATATTCCTAAAAATATGTATGTCTCTGATAAAGCATTAATTTTTTTTAATTTTTTTTAATTTTTTTAATTTTTAATATATATATTAGAACTATATCTCTGACAAAGCATTAATTTTTTTTTTTAATTTTTAATATATATTTTAGAACTATCTTAAAGGGACCTTCGTTATGATCAAAACATTTTTATATATTTTTTAACCAAAATATGATTTATATTTTATTGATTATATCTTCTTAATACTAAGCAATTTAAAATTAAAAATCAGGGAATTAAATTCATATTATATGTACTATAATATATAATAAAATAATGGATATATAATTCTAATACATAGACTTTTGTGAAAATACATTAACTATATTTTAAGGGGAATATTTTACTGTATATGACGGTAAGCTCATTTCACTGATTTAATAGATCATTATGTTTAAGAATAATAAGATATAGTTTTTCATGTGCACACAAGGGGTATGAGTTTTTTAAGGTTTTACATTTTCTTGTTTTTTAATATTTTTCGTATATATATATATACACTGTGTGCCAAATTATTATCGAGATAACTTTTTTCTAATATTTCAGAAACCATCCAATCATTTCACACAATGTTGGCAACACTGACCTGCGCAATCACTGAAATTTTCTTACTGATCTGCGCAATGTAAACAAACTGGTGCCATATTTGTTATCAGCACAGTGATTTGAGTGTGCCAAATTATTAGAAAGATTTAGTAAAATTCCCAGAATTGAGCAAACAAAATGTTTATTAATGTTGCACGTGAATGTTTATGATCAAAAGAAGCTAATAAATAAGATAATCAAACAAATAATAACAGATACAAACAAAGGCACAGTTTTAAACAAATTAATAGGAAATGTGCTTTCCCTGTTTTGAAATTACTCGAAGAAGACAACGATCCCTAAAATTTGTTAATCGTAGGATGTCATCTGCTGTAATGCTGCAAGATATGTCAAGAATTGCTTCCCACAACTCAGCGCTGCTCCTGAATTGTCGTCCATTGGCGTACAGTCTTCGCTTCATGATGTTCCAAAGATTTTTGGTTGGGTTCAAATCCGAAGAATTTGCTGGCCACTTCATTTTTCGAGGTCCATCGAAGCCTAACTGTTTCAAATATTCAGTAGTCTTGTGAGCAGCATGTGAGGGAGCATTATCTTGCATAAAAACAATAGCCCTTCTGAAGGCAACTCTTTGCCTTTTCATCCACGGTTCAAGATGCTCCTTCATAAACGCTATGTATGCATCAGCAGTCATTTTGACGCTATCTGGTACTCTCCATGGGCCCACTAATGTTTTTCCAATAATACCACTGCAGATCATTATGCCTCCACCGCCTTGTTGGCATCTCAAACGCTGATGGTGATTCTCTCTGTTCATTACCCAGCCTTTGCACCATTTATCTGGCCCATCAAGTGTTGCTCGAGTTTCATCTGTGAACAAAACTTTAGAGAAGTCAATCTTCATATTGTCCTCGGCTCATTTCAATTGATTTTGAATGTGATTTCTCATCAACAGAGGCTTCGATACAGGTTTGACTGTTGTTGCTATTTCCCTCAGATACCAATACCGAGTACTTTTAGACACAGTAGGATCCCCAATGCGACTGAAAAGCTCTTGACTGGTAAGTCCAGGGTTCTTCGTGGCCTCTCGTTTAAGTCGTGACATGAGACGACGTGAAATAACCCTCGGCTTGCCTTCATCTGCCCTATTGCGTACTTGTGTAGGGTTGGCAGTGAACTTTTTCACTGTTTGATGAC